GAAAGAATTCATGCTGAAGACATTCTTCCAATCGAAAGCAGAACCTAAGGCCGATGATGTCATCGCAGCGATTCAACACCGTGAGTTCAATCTCCATCCAGTATATTTCACCGTCAGTAACCACCGTTGGGGAAGCCTTCATTGTCGCAGAGTTTTGTAAAGATGAGACGCGCCTGAGAAGGGCACGGTAAGTCCTTTGTCGGCTCCCCGAGCTGCCTGTGTGTTCTGATGGTCTAAAAACAGGGAGTCCATGACGTGAGTACTCTCAAAACCAAACATTCTCGTTCTGACCGCTGTATAGCCCAGAGATTAAAACTGGTATGGTGCTAGACTTGAAAGTTGATGGACACGGAACTGATCGAAAACTATAGAGCTTGCAAATGCATTTGAAACCTCATTCCAGAACGATGAGATCAGGAAAGCTTTCATTCAGCATCTGAAATTCCGAGCCCACGGCATTATGGAGGACGTTGTCCGTGATCGCCGGACTTCCTATTCGCGGTGTCTGAACATCATCGCGTCCTCTGGACAGGGCAAGTCCCGGCTGATGAAAGAGGTATCTGGATGTTGCTTTGTATGGCTGTCACTAAGCTCCTGAACAGGTTGGCTACGGTCGACGGGACTGCATTCCCCCCACCCCGGAGGATGAACCGGTGTTCTGTATACCGATCAATATGCGAGAATTGGACGCACCGGGATGGCCATTGACGGACGCCGCTGTATTGAAGTACTTCGAGACGTTGAAAGGGGATAGTGAGGACACCCAACAGTCAGTCAGGGCGCACTGGAGAGCAGCAGTATTCATATCGGAAGCACTCGAGCATGCCTTGACATGCCTCAAGAACCTTCTTCCAGAGGCAGGGTATGTGCCAAAGCTAAGGGCGTGGAATGAGAAGATGGAGGGAAGAAATCGAGAATCCCGAGATCGATTTTGGCAAGATGTTGTCACTAAGGCGGAGGCAGTAAGGATCATTCTCTACCTATCTGATGGCATCTCATGTCTCACCAGAGGTGCATAAAAACCTTGCAGACCCAGAACAGCCCTCCTCGGCGGAAAGAAGATCAGCGCACTACGTCCGACGTTGTGGCTGGCGCTGATGAATCTGGAAAAACGCTCATTCAGCCCGCCACAACCAAGTTGGTCGCCTACCTGAAAACCTTGCACGGCTCTGACCCCTCGGTGATAATCTACTTCGATGAAGCTGCGGAGTTCCACAACCTCTATTGGATCCTCTCAAGGGTGCTCGTCGCTCGGATATCAGAACCGTTGTGGCTTGTCTTCATGGCCACCAATGGAAAGCTGAAAAATTACGCGCCGCCATCAGGTAACAGTGCGTTTCGACTTCCATGTGTCTATGCCTCTTCTCATGCATGAACAGTAAACTCGGCGAGATTGAGCGCCGAGCTTTTACAGCAACTCCCACCGTACTACTCTCTAGGATTCGATCAATGGGCTAAGAAGGCAGCAGAGAGCCGCACGATGGGTGATTTGAGTTCTTGGCTACACGCATCCTATTACGGCCGTCCAATGTGAGCAGGATACCCTAGATCATGGTCCCTGTCTCTTTGTAACCGCTGCGACAGGTGGAATGCTCACCTCACAACAACTCCGTCGTACAGGCTTCGTCAGGAGGGGACTTTGAAGTTGACTTGCAATTCAGCGCATCCGGAGCAGAACGACGCGTGCACCTTTTCGATATTCTCCGTCCTCATCAATCTTGATCTCGTGCTTCACACCACAGAGGCCGCCAAGATAGCAGACCTTGCCGTGTCGAATCATATGCGACTGTTTGATGGCATACAACTGCAGCCTGACATGTCATATCTCACCCACACCGCCTCGGAACCTGTTCTGGCGCTTTGTGCCGCTGATCTTCTCCTCCAAGAGGGAAAATTACCTGGTTACATGAAGACGCTGGTTACGGAGCTATGCCGTGGGAACATAATCCCGAAAGGCGACATGGGGGAGCTGGCAGCGAGGCTTCTGCTCCTTCTCCCAAGGATTTCGGCTAGCGAAGCCAAGTTTGAGGATCCAATACCGCTACCAAACATCACACTGGTTGCGTACTTGGAAGTGCTTCTAGGACCTGCTGTGCTCGACAGCGACTTCAAAAAAACATTTCACAATACTTGGGTCAATTTCCATCACTGGATTGTCTTGTCGGAATCTCTCCCAAAAAAGGGCTTAGATCTGTATGCCCCCCCCCCCCCCTCCTCCTTCATGTGAATTGACTCAGACTTTGATCAGGAAAACGTTAGCCAATTTCTGGGCCAGAGGGGCTGCGATCCAATGCTGGCATAACCAAGCATCCGTAGATCTCCTTTTCATCACGTATCAGGGATCGAATGCGCCCAAGGCGTTGTTTGATCGGCGCAATCTTTCCGCCGTCCACGTGCAAGTGAAGCTCAAAGATAGGCCGGACCCGAATGCCCTGAGGGGGCTCGAACCTGTTGGTCTCGCTGAGCATCTTGCGGAAACAGAAATGCCTTACTTGGTTATCCTCATGGAACTGGGGACGAACGTTGCATTCGATAACGACTCGGAGCGGTATGTTGACATTCAAAAGCCTCTGTCAATCACGCAGCGCGGACTAGGTCATCCACCTGTTGCGTCGTCAACAAGAAGCAATGACTCGTCCAAAGACATCCGTAAGCGTCGTTGGTCGATCAATGTCCGTGGTCACGCTTCCTCGGCGTATCCGATACTCGACAAGCTGAAGATCTCGTCCCATTTCACCCGGCTGTTGCACCTGCGCACGCTGGGTCCGCAGACTGAGCTGGAGGAACAAATGTGGCCTGGCACCCGTCTTTCCGGCATGCCGGTCAGTTGGATGGTTGACTCTGGTGTGATTGTCCCACAGGGAGGTGTGAATGAGGACGTTGAGATGACGGGATGATGATTTCCATCAGTTAAGCCCAATGTACAGTACCTTCTTCTGTGGTTATAATAAGACACATGTGTAATGGTTCTGTGCGTCTAACTGAATACGAAGCGTGCGGATTTCCCAACTGGACAATTTGTCTCCCCATGACAGGAAGTCTGCTGCAGGAGGGACGTAGTATAACGCCAACTGGTTGAACCGGGGTATCGCGCGAGATACAGACGCAGATGTGAGAAACAGGTGAGCTTCTTTAATGACATACCTTTTCTCAGACCAGAAAGTGAAAGCATAGTTAGTGGTCTACTTCTCGGGAGATGTCTGTCGGAGAGCCGCCTCCTCATG